CATCGAATTTGAATATGCATAACATTGCACACTTCATAAAGTTTGAAGGGGAATACTTTTTCTTTGTGGTGGGACAAAATTCTAAGCTCACGTGCAGTTACTATCATACTTTTAAGGCTAAAACAACTAATAATTACACTGAAAATTCATTATAATTTTAAATCTACTCTGTGTTTAAAGACAACAAACTTATACTTTAGTTCAAGCTTTTCAAGTATCACTTAATTGTCATCTAACTTGGGAGTATGAAAGCATTATCATTATCATTCAATATGTCAACTCACATGCACTAAATGCACATATATATATATATATACATAAACTTATAACAGGCAGTACAAATAAGACTGATAACAGAGAGTTATCTTTCGAACAAGGTTCTGCTCATGTGAAATATTTGCAAGTGTGTAAAGTCTAACTCTGTATTTAATTATTATATAAAATTTACAAAAAATGTTACATGTAGTTATTTCTTTCTTTCAAATGATCAAATACAAAATATCAGAATAACACAGAAAAGTAATAAGTGGCAACATTTTGATTACTTTGTAGTTGGAATAATCCAAAACAGGTATAATAAGAAACTATTTTCAATTAATTGATTCGTGACACTAATTTATTAAGATGAATAAACTTGAACTGATTGAAAATAATGAGAACTCATAATAGGAATGTTTCAATTAGTTGGATAGTGGTAATAATAAAAAAAGAGTAATAATTGAAAACAATTTTTATATCAATTGATTCATTTTGATTAATTGGTTATTTTAAGAGACACTAATCAATGTAATCATTGTTCATAGATAGACAGATCATATCAGTTCATGAAGTTAATCACCTAGCTCTATTTGGGTCATCAGGATTTATAAATTTAGATTTTATTTGCTTAGCAAATATTACACAATTCTGTTAAATATCAAAATATCAACATGTAAAGAAACTTGACAATACACAAAATGTTCACATCATTAAAACATCTTTCAAATACACTGTACTTACCTGACCATGAACAACTCTAATGCTTCTATTGATGTAGGTTCCATTGGTGCTATGATAAACAAAACCTTTGTTTTAAATAAATGTTTATAATTAAAAGTTTGTCAAACTGTAATTTTAGGTTAATTCAACAATACATAAACTCTTAATATTAAATTATATTTTGTGTTAGCTAATTAAACAGCAAAATACATCTTTATCCAGGGTTGTAAAAATACACTAGTCTCTAACTCAAGACTACCAAATTTTGAATTCATGCTATAGTGAATTACACACATACTAACCAGTAGCTAGTGAGGTTCTGCTTACATGACATGGGTGCATTTGTATAAACTCTAACTCTATCTAATTATTAAAATTTACAAAAATGGTACCTGCAGTTTGTTTGTTTTTTCAAATCATCAAATATCTACTGTCACAAAAACTTGTGTAAGATCAATAGCCTATTTATTAATAATAAATGATTCAATTGTTAATTTGTAAATTAAAATGTTCAGTTATTTAGTTCTATACATAAAACACTTTATAATTTATGTGATTATGTTTTGTTGGGATAGAATAGTTTTGTTAATTTAAAGTTTTACTGATACAATGAAACAGTTTTGTTGGAATAAATTAACAAGCTCCACTCACTCAGAACTCCACAACCTTTTCCTAAATATGAAGAAAAAGGGTAAGGTTTTCGAAATGTTTGAGGGCTGTGTGTTTTTTATTTTGTTCTATAAGTAGACTTAGTAATCTACAAACAGATTATTGTATAATCTGAATTAATTCATATTATTTCCAGTATGCTAGGTGAGCCAGTCTATCACCTATGTATACTGGCTAACCCTTGAATGAAAGTGTATGGTCACTATGACCCCATACCACCTGAAGTGAATGACTGGAAATTAATTTAATGATGACATTCTAGGGTTAATCTGTCCAAAGATTTTGTCTGCCATACATAAAGATCGCAATAAATCATATTACTTGTAATGTTAACATACTGTGGAAGAACCCACTGTAATATATAAACTTGAAATGTGTATTACTGTAATACTATGGTCATTATAGTGAGAAAAAATAGTTTAGCTAGTACATTTTCATGAATACAATTCAAGGGCTAGTACATAAACTTTTTTACAACCTTGTTGTCCACATCAGTGTTTTAAATTGCCAGCCAAGTTATAAACCAAGCAAATCAAAGCACTGATCAACCACCACTAATCACAGAGATACCAATTCAGCAGCCACTTCTCTTTCTTGAAGAAAATAGCTGACAAATGGACATTCCAACATAATTAACTCTTGTCTCTCATCCTTATTGCAGACAACTGATATAATATACACATTTTACTTCACTTTAACCATTAAACACACTGTTCATCTAATATTCTAGATATACATATAGCTCAAGGTGTCACAAAAGTAGTTATATAGCTACATTTCTTCCTGCTAGTACACACAAAATGTACAGCCTTTTCTTGACTATTTTAGAAATAATAAAATGTGCTGCAACTCTCTTGGGCTTTCAAAATCTCCGTGACACACAACCTCCTTCATCAGAGTTCTTAAAAACAAATTCACTCAAACTTACAAAATGTTCAATAATAATCTTTGAATTCTAAAAACAGCTTTCATAGAAGTAAAGTTCTTGATACCCACCATTTAAAATAACTGAATAACTATTGCTAAAATGCACTAAAGAGATGAGGAAAATCACCAAAATATGTGAAGAACTGTTTCAAAGAAGGTTATAAGAAAAAATGTTAAAATTGTACTTAGCCAAAGTTCATACAATAAATATCAATCTTGAGAAAAAAATTATATTTACCTTGTATCACATAACCAAACTCTTCCTTCCTCATCTCTCTGTAGGTAACAGTGGTGGCCTGAAACCATCTTCACAGCCACTTGTAAATCACAATCTGTACATACAAATATAAAAAGTAGTCTTATTACTTTTACGTACATCAGGTATAATTCATAAACTGGATTTTGTGTTACTAATATGGCAAATTCCTGAGAAGTATTTTTTTGAGTAAGAGTACATCATATGTACACACAAGCAAATTACTAGATAAATTAAAACTTTAAACCATATCTTGCTTTTCACAAAGTGAATTATTAATATTCCAAAATTTAAAAAAAATTCAAGAATGACAGTTACATTTTCATGTGATAATAATGAAATTAGAAAAAATGTCCTCATCTTTCTTTGAGCCACTAATATTCTTGTGGAAGTAAAACCTGATGCTAGCTTAAACTACCATCTGAACATATGAGTGTAAGACCATACACTATACTTACGTCAACATGTATTCATTATATTCAGTATCAGACATTATCTTTTCATATGTATTTCTTTATGTTTTAATTCTAAGTTATGCTAGCACTAATTAGGATGGTGTAATAAAGAGAAGTTGGTATCTTTACATCACAGAGAACATTTATATTAATCAACATATCTTTTTTTTTTCCTATATGAAGTCCCAACATTGTGATGTGTGCAAAAATAAATGAGAGAAAAAATACAAAAACAAGATGTCAAACTATAAAATAAACTTTTTTCTACATCTGTTAATAGAGGGAAAACACATATTAAAACTAGACAGTACAATTTCTTTAATAAACAATTCTTAAGTCATATGAGAAAATTAGCAATCACTTTTGTACAAAAATCCACCTTATGATATGGATGGTTTATCAACATATATTCTTGAATGACCTATGATTAACGTGGAAGGTAATGTTAGTCTATCTAGCAATTATTGGCAAAAGAACAATGTAGAACTGTAAAACCACATAAGTGAAACAAGATGGAACCCATACTGGATAAATTTCAAAAAAATCATATAAAAGTTTACCATTGGACAAATATCACATAACTTCTAAGAGTAGTATCTAAAAGTAGAAAATATCTCTTGCAATACAGATGGTATTGCAACCTGGAAACTTCTCTCACTCAAATTGTGAGCTCTGAATGTAAACTCAAGCAGTTCTGCATCTCTCAGTTAAAAAGTTAAGAGAAAAAATCTGACATAACAGATAAAAAAAAACAGCTTTCCATGGATAATAAAGGATCAATTGTTAGGACCCAATTACAGAAACCCTACTACGTTAATGGCTTATTTCATGACACTTACTATGGAATTATTTTTGCCCAAGTCAATTCCAGATACACCCACAGATTTACTTTGAAAAGAATTGCTACAATTCATCAGTTCCTAACATACATACAGACTGACTTTTGAAAAGCAATACCACAGTTTATTAGCTCCTGATACATCTACAGTTACTTCTGAAGAATGTTGCTACAATTTACATGAATTTGTTCTCGTACTTCAAGCTACAACTACTACAGATGTCTGACATAGATGACATTTATTATTGCTTACAATAGCTAGCTAGAATATAGCAATTCAAAATTTAGCAATCTTGAAATGTGACACCATGCAGCAGTTTATATATGTATGTATGTATGTATATACACACAAGACAGCCATAACATATCAATATACAACAAAATTATAATTTCTGGTAACAGTGAAAAAGTAGTTTAATATATACAAAGAATAAGTTAGTTTTAATATGACATTTTGTATATCTGTATTATTACTTTATAATGACAAAAGATAACCGTATTTCAGTAGAAAATAACATGGCACAAAGTTTAATACTTAACAAAACTGACCACAATTGTCCTACAGCTAAAACAAAACACACGTATAAATAATACACCATACCTTTAGCTCTTCCTATTACAAATTTCTTTCCTCTAATAATAATAGGTTGTTGCTCCTGAGACCTTTCTTTGCCATAAGTTAATTCTCCCCATGATTTTTGGGTTTCTGCTACAGAATTTGGTGCAATATTTGCATCAGTCATGATACTAGAATAATTTTAACTATTCACCAATCCACTAGCTGTTTTTTTAACAAATATTCCCAAATACCTGGAAACAGAAAAATGATGTTCATATTAAAAGAAAATGATTTCCTGTTTTAATGAGCATATATTACCCATCATATAGTTGATACAGACATGTTAATCAAACTTTTGGCTAGTAGTGGTACACAGTAAGCATATGATGCAGCTGTGTTGTTGTTGTCATATAATAAAAAAGACAAATTGTTACTGATTAGTCTTCAAACTGTTTCTTCCTATATTCTTAATGAAATATGTTTTTTTAATTAAGCCTAAGTTACACAAATCTTAAAGTACAAAAATTGTGAGTCTTATACTTAAAGATAATATTCTCCAACAGTTATTAAATACTGTACAACAAAGTTGAGAGTTTTGAGTCTCCAACATGGCTAATTAACAGTTCTCATTTACAAAAAACTGTTGATACTGTACTTAATATATGGATGCAGTTAGTTTGCTAAATCTTTGTTTGATGGTAGAACCCATGTTGATTTGGTACTGTGATGCTTAGACCTGGGGGTGTATATGTCCTTTCTCACTGGTATATACAGTTACATTATTGCAAAAGTTAAGTTTCATATTTCAGATACTGACTTAAAAAGAAAAACCATCAAAAAGCTTATAATGTTAATTGTTCAGTTAGGCATGTTGCTCACTTTCTCATTTATTATTGGTTTTGAAAGAAATGTTCCCAGATTTTGGCAATTTTCAAACTGGATGAAACAATTTATTCTGGACTGTGTATAATAATACTCCAACAACAGATGCTAGTTTGAAGTGTACAATTACCATAAAACAACAAATAAGTCATGCTAACACTAAAAACCAATAACAACATAACTAGGGAAGTATATAAATTATATTATAACAACAACGTTACATTATACATATACATATGTAACTTAACACAAGATTCCCAACTTTTTTCCAACTGAGGATCAGCTAATTCTTTAATACAAATTACAATACTAACTTTTAGACTACTTTTATTATGCTGTAGAACAATATGCTTTCATAGCTTTGTTTTCAAAAACACATTTTTTTTGTCAACCCTCTTATGAACTTTCCCTGGCCACAGTCCACGGACCCAGTCAGGAAACACTGGTTTAACATAAAATTTTTTACTGTTCTAATTAAATTTAGTCAACTCAATATAGCCTACTACTACTACTAGTTCTGTATTATTCTACTTAATGTGATGGATACTACAATATTCCATCATTTTCAAAACAGCATGTTCATTCAGTCACAACAAAAGTGACACCTGTAGAATTCTAGAAAATAAAGAACAATTTTAAAACTAATACTAGCAGTATCAGTTCTATTACTAGTACTAGTAGTAAATACTAGTATTAATCAATTTAGTATAATATTATCATACAGTCCTATTATTATTGCAATTAGTATTACACTAGTAGAGCTAGTGTGGAAAGGGCCATCACATAAATATTAAGATATTATAACAAAACACAAATGGGGTTTTGAGTCCATTTTAGTTCAGCATACTGTGGAAATTAGAGAACATTTTGATATATACCTATGTGAGTATGTCTACTTTTGAAAGACGCAACTAAATATCTAAGACAGAACTAAGGATATACTGAAAGACTTGAAAGTTAATTCCAGTTCAACTATTTCTCCTCAGCTATTGGATAATCTTAAAATTTCACATTTATAAAACCCTGACTTATTGTTAGGACAAGTAAAAAAAAAGTTTAGCATCTAGAATTTTTGAAAAAGGGAAGAATGAGGTTCTCTCTCTCTCTCTCATTTTTTAAATGACCTCTTTTAATAAAAGTTTGCACCCTTTTTTTAATGATTGTTGCTTGTTTTCAAACGTTCCAAAGAGAAGTCTTCTTTGTTTAATTTTTTCATCAAAATGATATAAAATTTATAACAAGTAAAAAAAGAGCAAACCCAATCAACTGTGTTCATCTTTTTTTTTTATTCAGGTCCACAGCAAAAGCTAAAACAGTTCGTTGAATCAGGGTCCCTACAGCTTTTTGGGTCATGTATCGACAAGGCATAGGTGTGCCTTATACCCTTCATCATGTCGCCTACTAGCCAATGAGGTGGGTCATGTACCCATCACCTCAGTTGGTGCCTTCACTTGTTAATACTAAAAAAGAATGAAATTGGGAATGGCACAACACATTCTAGGCCTAGCCTTGCCTATAGGCATACCCTTCATTGTGTAGTCTAACACGAGGTTGGTCATGTACCCGTCACCTCAGTCTGAGCCTTCACTTGTGAATATTAACAAAGAATGAAATGGCACAACACATTCTAGGCCTAGCCTTGCCTATAGGCATACTCTTCATCATGTAGTCTACAATGTGGTGGGTCATGTACCTGTCACCTCAGTCCAAGCCTTCAACTGTGAATATTAACAAAGAATGAAATGGCACAACACATTCTTGGCCTAGTCTTGCCTATAGGCATACTCTTTTTCATGTAGTCTACAACGTGGTGGGTCATGTACCCATCACCTCTGTCCAAGAGTGTCTTCACTCCAAAAAAAAATGTGGGTCACATATCCAACATATCTGCATGCGATGCATACACCAGCTTTTCTGTGTATGTACTAGTACTTGCCTAATGTTAATACTAATAGTTAGACATGATGTAGTTGCCTACTGTGTGAGCTCATCTGTTCTGATTGCAGGGCTTGGTTACTGCCAATCGAGTCTCCTCCATCAAGTTCCTCACTCACAAAATTAACAAAAACAATTTTCAATAAGTGACATCCATTGGGTATAGTTCTAGCATACCAAGGTTTTAAACTTTTTGTTGGTGTCCTAATTGTAAGACAGGCAAAAACATGTTGGTGGGGTTGCCTAAATCTCATTACAATTGATCTTACATGCTCGCATGTACACAATATAGTCTTTGTACATGTGTGCTCTACAACGAGCGGATTGCAGGCCATACACTACTAACTTACTAGTCTATGGTAAACAGTCGTAGTATACACATTTGGGAATGGAACAATACTTGGAATGTATGGTATAATCGAAAAACAATAACTCAAAAAAGGAATAATTAGCCTAACAAGTGGGAGGGGAGGCAGCTACAAAAAAGGAAGCAGGCAGGGGTACTAAACATGTTTTTTTTTACTTGGCCTTATAAAGACTGTAGAAAGAACATAACTTAACATGTCTCTAACTTCTAAGACCCATAGTTTCTACTTTAAATTCTCCCTTAGGTTTTTTATTATACCCTCCTCTCCCTGGATCAGTGTATGTATATGAACTTACAACACTAAAATCCAGGGTTTGATTTACAATAATGAATACAGTATGGAGAACACTTCATCACTATTACTATTAATATTATTATTACTAATATTAGACTTTTAGAAGTAATGGTATTTCTTTGGTTTGCTAACCCAAGTTGTGCTGATGAGCCTTGAACTGTTGAAGTTCAATACAGAACAGGCGAAATAGCAGACCACAACAGAGGGTACAGCCAATCAAAGAATGCATTATGCCTGTACGTCAGAGGTGAAAATGAAAAGAAATCTTTAACACATATGTGCAATGTACTATAACAGTATAAGTATAATACTGGTAGTGGTAAGTATCAGCCTTATTTTAATCATTTTAGTATTTACATTTGTAATTGTACACCGGCCCATTGCAAAGCCAATTTCCTTCAAGAAATACTAAAATAAATTTAAAAAACCTATGGCTAACACAAATAAAAACTTACGCACCTGAGTTGGATACATTTTCGAAACAAAAAAATGAAGTCTGAAACCCTGAGCCGTAAAATTAATATTTTTTTTTAGTTTTTAACACAGGACACTACCACAACACGCATCTTGAAATAATATTTGAAAACACCTGTGATCAGTACCAGTACTGCACTAGTGAACATGCGCAAAAATAACGTCACAACACTCTACACGACATGGCTCGTTTGAATGAAGTACTAAAGTATTCGAAAATTGCATAGAAGGAAACTATTTCTACGTTATGGCAAATGAAATGTCAACGTTTGAAAAACAGCTAGTCTACTCGTAAAAAGAGAATTAGGCATAATTTGTAAGACAATAGATAAACAGTTGTAAGCATTGAAGTCTCTTTATGTTATACCGCATATTTTTATAATTATAAGCCCACTAATAATGTATAAGGTAATTATGTATTTTGTAAGGCTTATTAACAATATAAATATGTCATAAGACATTAGTATTAGGCCTATTATATTCTTTACCTAGTCTCTTAGGAATTTTCAAGAATTAGAAAAGTGTATAATGACGGTATTCCAACTACAATGTATTTGACATATCCATTGCTGACGATGTGTTTCGCTCAATCCAGTGCTATTTAGGCTGGTTGGGACACAACCAACACAGGATTGGTCGTACCACCACTTATATAGGCCATCTGTTACAACAGCAATTTTTATGTTGTATCCCAGCCGGCTCGAAGATCTCTGGACTGAGCGAAACGCACCGTCGGCAATGAATATGTCAAATACATTGTGGTTGGAATACTATCATTATATACTGTTGTTACGACAGCGGAAGTCACGTGACGTTGCTGGCGTGATGGCGCTGGTGGCATGCATAATGAGTTTCTCAAATGATCGTGGAAGTCCGAGTGTCTTCGAGATGCCCTCTTCGTTAGTATATGTCTAGCAGAGAAAGTCAGGAGAGATAAATGAAGAGAGAGCAGTAGTTACTTTGAGTTCCGTGTAATTTATGATTCTATTAGTTTCGAGCTAGCGAGCCGTAAAGAGTGTGCTTTGCACTCGTCGAGAGCGAACTTATCGAGATTGTGAATCGCTGTGATTTATAGCATGCATTATAAAAGTTGTTAAGTTTAAAGTGGCGAGAAACATACTGATTGTGGAACTACTGTGTTCTAAAAGCTTGTATCGAGGAAGAATAAACTGGTTTAATCAGGAAAGGATTTGTGTCGCTGAAAATCCTCGGAAAGGAATTTCTACCGGAAACAAACAAACAAGCAGATACGTAACACTGTCATAATTCTTGACCTGGAAAGCCCCGTACCAGGGTTACGGTGAAACATTTGAAAGAACAGGATGGTGGATGCTTTTGGCTGACGGAAACTTGGTCTTATGTACTAGAGCCCCCCACCCCCTCAGTGGCACAGAGGTATGCCTGCGGACTTATAATTCTAGAATTCAGGTTTCGATACCTGTGGTGGGCAGAGCACAGATAGCCCATTGTGAAGCTTTGTGCTTAATTCCAAACAAACAAACGTACTAGGGTAAAGGCAGTTGAATCTTGCTCTAGTGAACTGAGCATTGTAATCTGCAGAAAGCGATGACAAACCACTGAAGTTCTTGTCTAGTAAAATCATGGTAAAAAAGCTAAGCATAACTACCAGAGAAAGACAGTAGAGTTTCCTAGGATACATAATGAGAAAGTAAAATACGGTAATTATTGGAAAAATCGAGGAAAACTAAGGTTAAATCACATCAGTAGCATATCCAAATGGATGTATGTTAATGTGACTGAAATTTTGAAACGTATAAAAGACAAGAACCAATGGAGAACCATTATCGCCAAAGTTCAATCTGGATATGGCTCCTAGAGAGGGAGATAATTCTTGAAAATCCATAAGGGTCTATACAAAGAATGTCGTCCTTAAAAATACAATAAGCTTAATACTAAAGTCATACGACAAGTATAATTATGATCGTGCTTCACCATCTTATAAAAAGGGTTCTCAGCATAACAATATAAAAAGGTCATTCTTGCTATAACATGAGGACAAAATTACAAAAGTATGCTTTATTATGCACAAAGAAACTGCAGTGCTTCCAACTGCTTTTCCACTGCCTTATAACTTATGCCTAACTTTCTTTCTACTTGTATAATAATTTATTCTAGCGTTGCCATCTAGTTTGTCATCAAATTGAAATAATTTTCTTTCAATTCACAAAAATTTTCGAACTCCATTTTCACAAGTCGTTTCCTGTAGATTTTGTGACATTTTTTCGTATGTCCAGTGGTGTAGTACTGGTACAGGCCGTTTTTAACTTTTATTTGAAGACGTCTGTTTTGTGAGCGTCGCGTGACAGATGGTGTAATATTTAATATTGAGAGGTTTAAAGTTTTTCAGACCTCTTGTTTCATGGCTAAAATGTAGTCAACTTGGGTGTGTACATTTATATTTGTGTTAGGTATGGGTTTTGTTGAATTTTTAGTATTTATTCAAGTATCGAAGGAAATTAATTTTTTCAGTGGGCCGTCGCATAAATCTGAAATGGGCATGTGTAGGGCTGATATTCTTATCAGTCCAACTAGTAGAGGTAATTGCAAAGACAATTTTTTTTTCAGTAGTTTAAAAAATAATAAAATAATCTCGACAAAACACATACATATCACAAATATGCACTTACTCATTCGAGTTAACAATGTTTTCGCCACGAAACACTTTATTTTCGCCCTCTAGTACCCCTCAATGGCACAGCGGTATGTTTGCGGATTTATACCGCTAGAAACCAGGTTTCGATACCCTTGGTGGGCAGAGCACATATAACCCTTTGTGAAGCCTTGTGCTTAATAACAAACAAGAACAACAATCGTCATCTAGTAGCTCAGCCATAGGCCTAAAGACTTATAACACTAGAAGCCGGGTTCTGATACCCGTGATGGGCGCACATTAATAACTCAATGTGTAGTTTGCACTTAACAACAAACAGACATTTGACCTTCAAAACTAAATAACCAACAATCTGGTACGAGATCCATATACACAGCAGAAATCTTGAAATAATGTTTAAAAACAACTTGCACCAGTACTGCACAAATAGATAAGCGCAAAAAAAACGGCACAAATGATGCACGATATTATGGTTTGGTTTCCGTTTCGAAAGAAATTTACTGTAAATAGGAAACACAGAACACAGTTTCTGTTTATGCAAAAGCATTGTTGTGAGCAATATTTTTATTATTTTAATGTTTTTCTTCACTAGATGAAGTTTTTTAACATTACTTAATGATTGATAAAATCTAGAGATTTCATGAAAGTGTAGGCCTTTGTGGAATCTTTAAACTTCTTATAATATTAGTTTGTTTGTTTTTAAGCACAAAGCTTTTAAGCTGCAAGAAAGTGTATTTGTGGGTTAAGCATGCCAATAGTCTCGGAATTTCTATTCAAATATTGTTTGAATGTAGCATGTAGCCCATATAGAAGTTGTTGAAGAAACAAATTTATTCATTTCTCATTAAGTGTACTCGACTTTGCATTATTCTTTAACAAATAATTCAAGAGAGCTTACTTAATGATAGAACACAATACAACACTGTTGTTACAAGGGTGATTATTTTGGCGAAAACAAAATAAAGCTTTGACTAAACTTCAAGATGACAACTTGAAAATGAAGTAAGATAAACATTTCCTGTAGATGATAAAACATTAGAAAGAACAAGCAGAAAGAGAGAGAGCAATGAAAGAAGATGATGAAGAAGAAAGGGACAGAAAATTAGAAGAACAAGACAGAAAACTGAAAAAAAAGAAGAAAATAAACCAGAAGAGAGAGAGATACAGGAATATAAGAGAGAAACTAAAATAAAAAGACATAATATTTAAAGAAGAATTAAGAACAAAAATAAATGTTATTGAAGATAAAATTGGTAAAGTTATTGGTGATGTATAGATCTCAAGGGATTATAGCAACAAAATCAAAGAATTACAAAAAGAAATAAGTGAAGTAGACAGGGGCGGATTGGGATGGCTAAGCGGCCCGAGACTGGGATCACAGAGTGGCCCTGGACAGGTTTTCTGTTAAA